GCTATGGCTAAGTGTTCTTGAAAGCAAAATTATAGGATTTTTTTTTATTATGTTTGTCAGTCCATTAATAAGCTTTAAAATCAAAATTGTATAAACTTTACGATCTATGAAAAATGAAACAAAATTATTTCATAAAAAAAGTCGTTCGTGGCTGGCTCATTATGGGTGAAAATGTAATCATTCATGGTCGGTGCTGCCGATAGAAATGTAATCAAAATGTTGTGCTTTTGATGGTTTTGTTTAGGAATTGCGTATTGATTTAGTGGTGCTTTTGAGGGATGCACACGAGTGCTTGTTATTTTGTCTGTGTTGATTATTGAGATTTTCTAGTTTTACTATTGGATCGTTCATAAATGATGTCAATCAGAAAATTGAACTTTTAGACCCCAAGTTCATCTAATATGAAGCAATTCTCGTTAAAATTCATTCAGAAAATCTCGTCCAAAACTGATTGATTTACCAATTTTCTTGACAACCCCAAAAGATCCATAAAATCATCTAAACTTCAATAACCGTCAGACCACAACGTTCTTCATCAAAGTCAAATTTGATTTAGGTAATTAAAGTCAAGAAAATGAAAAGTTTTTCAAAGAAAAACAGTTTCTTAAAAAAATAATAAAAACAAATTTAATTATGAAAGCCAAAATTGCTTCACAAAATCCAAAACGACGAGTAAAGGAAGGCAAGAAAACATTTTAATAAGTAAAAACTTTCAAGGTTAAAATTTCATCCATAACACATGTACATACTCTGTGTATAGATGTGGTGGAATCTCTCTTTTTATCAACAGGTTTTTCTGGCTCATGTTTTGCTCTGCCAAGCTATTGTGGTTGTACGGAGACACAAAGTTTATAATTCTTGTTTAGCGAAAAAGTTTTTAATAATTTATGATTTAATCACATGCTCAAAGCTCATTAATTTATAATTATTTTGTGATATTCTGTGTGAAAAGTTTTGTGATAATAGGTTTTCCTTAAAGTATCGTCTTCATCATAATGTGACAGTTTAAAGGGCTTTATTGTTTCTTGTTGCTATGTCAACTTAATTTTTTATGAAATTTTAAACCGGGTTTTGTTGGATTTTGACATGAAAAAATGTCATTTTAAATTTAATTTACTTAAATTAGTATCATTTTTGGTAATAAAGTTTAAATTGAAGCCCTGATAATAAATATGTCAATCTACATGACTTCTACTTAACTGTGCCTGACATTATTCCTCATTGATTTAAACCCCGTTCCTGCCAATGTTCATTCAACCCTAGAATGTTCAAACACCCACTCTAGTCAATCCATCCTTACAACATTTACAACTTTCAAACCTTGAAGGAAAAAGCTGTTGAAGAAACGGAAGCTTTCAGGTATTTGATATTCAAAGTTAAACTCTGACTGTTTCCGACAATTTTCTTCAGAATAAAAGTTGTTTTGACTGTAAGCGACTTGCTAAAAGCCAGATGGTAAATCGTGATTGTTTTTGAGTTTTATAAAAACAGAAATTGTGAATAAAAGAGCTCTTGTCTAAATCCCTCAGCACTCCAAAATGAAGCGATACTCAATACAAGTACCATTAAAGATTTTTTAAAAATCCCATGCAAATCTGTTTTTCTGAGAATGCTTTGTTCATTCATAAAAGGTGCGAATTCATAAACTGTGAATGAAAGAGGCACAAAAGCAGTCTTCAATTCTTAGTAATTGAATGTTTACAAAAATATTCTTGACTGTGAGAAATAAGTTCCATTTTCAATTGAAAAAATTGATTGAAAATATCGATCAATTCTTCAGAAATTTGTTAGCAGTGCTCATTTCCAACAGAGCGTTCAATTTCTTTCAAATGTAATATGTCCATAAATAATGTCGATGTTGAACAAAACATGGAAACAGTTTCTATTATTAGCTAGAAAATTTTAGATATAGCTACGCCCACATGACTAAATTTAGATCCATATTATCGATATTAATGGATATAGAGCAGCTTTGAATATAAACAATAATGTATTGCATTTTTTATGCAAACGACATTTATCATTGTTTCGTGCTGCTTTGTTTATATAGTATCTGAGATTTGTCTGCATAAATATTTGTTGATATTTTGTATAGAGCTTTCTGAAGCTAGGTCAGGCTTGACTGAAATTCTAGTATTTTTAAAACATTTCAAAACAATTTCACAAATAAATTATTTTAATTCCGATATTTTATATTCGCATTCATTGACTTATACATGAAGAATTTTTGATGAGTCTCATAAATGCAAAACATTTTGTGCGTGCAATATTATATACCAAAAATATAAAGCTCATTTACAATTCCAAATCTTCTTATTGCAATTTAAATGAGCTTCAACAGACTACTCTCAATTTGCTCTAATGATTTTACAGTCTTCTATTGCCATGCGAAACTGATAGGATTAAATTATAATAATTAAGATTCATATTATTGTAAATTATGTTATTTAATCGTTTCGTTATTTGCATAGAAAATTTCGAGTACGGTAATAAAGATTCATGACTTTTCATGATGATAAGCTTCAGTGAAAATGTAAACTTTTGAATACTAAAATTTTGTCAAGTGGAAGTGGAAAACTTGTTAAAATGACTTGATTAAGAGGAAATTATGGAAACTTAGGATGGGTGTTTTAATTGAAGACCTGAACCTAGTTTTATAGTTTGTAGGTTTTTGTCATATCTAGCTTTTAAAGCAACAGGTTATCGCTTTAGTTTTGAATCCATGATACTTGCAAAGAAAGTTTATCAAGTACCCGAATGGCACAAGTCGGTTAATCGATTAGAAATCTGGCAACAAACTTATGTAAATCGTGCATGCTGCTGGATTTAAATCGAAGAAATGCTAACAACCCACTTCTATTGCAGAGTTCTATAAATCGATAATCTCGCAACATACACCACAATTACCATAACGAACTACAACTCACCGAATAGTTCAGTTCCCCTGCTTACAAATGTATTTAATTTATTTAAATGAATTCATCCAAATATCGTAATTCAGGATGTTAAAAGAAAAACATTCACAGCATACAATTGCTTTGATAACCATAGCATTTACAACAGAAAAGAACTAAGAAAGTACCTGCAAGATTTCTTTCATTAAAATTACACTCAGCATTAATATTAATGAAGGCTAATATTAATTAGCAATATAATTGTTTTGTAATAAACTTGTTGAATATAACGAATCCAAATAATCAACAGACCAGGTAAACTTTACTGAATTGTAATTAAACAGGACAAAGTTTTAATTTCTGAAATGTAAATTAAATGCAGCAAAAATGAAATTGGAGTTTGACTGCTCTTTTTAAGCTTTTGTATCTAAAATAATTAAATGTATGCATTGGATATTATTTAATTACTGAACAATTGTCACCTCTGACCTATATCGAACATGGTGTGGCAAGTGCTTATACAATTCGCAAATATTGAAAATCAATAAATGTCAGTACTTTCATTAAAAAAATCTCTACGGCAAAATATTATTTAATATTGGTAAATAAAAAATATCCGATTATCATCAATAGTCAAGCCTTTCAATAGCAACAACACCTGTGGATCGAGTAATTTTGTTCAATATAAAATCGAAGGATTAATGTTGATTATCACATAAAAATAAATGCAATGCAATTTCACCATTAAATAATAATCCTTTTGAATCCATTGAGAGGTTTCATCACCGTCACTTAATGGCATAATCGTTCAATGTTGATTGAAATTTATTTTTGAAAAAGAGAAACAGAAAATCAACATTAATCATAAAAGTTCTCACAACTGCGATTAAGGTTTATATTTCTATAAAATTAATTTCAATGAAATGAATTATTGGAAACCGTTAACAAATTTGATAGATATTCGAAGTGGATCATTCAAAAGTTAAGAATTTGAGAATTTCGATTTTATTTAAGTTTTTGTCCTTGATTTTTTTCGCTATTTTGACTAGGGTTTTCAATTTTGGGATTAAAATGTACTGAATCCTGGGTCTGATCCCGGGATTACATACATTTCAATCCCGGCATTGAAAACCCTAATTTTTGACCTTCAAATGCTCCTTTTATGAATTCTTACGATTATTAAAGGCATGAGGCTTTGATCAAAAACGCCTCGATTCACTGTTATGTTAGGTTAGAGTCTGTGGTTCGGCAAGTGGTTCGGATCCCCCTATAAACTGTAAATCTAAAGGGTGTGGTACAATAGATTCTGTTCTAATTTGAATCGCAGTGCCTCCAGCTGAAAGGCTGGGCCCTTCATACATTATTATTATGTTAGAGTAGATTTCAGATGAACTAAGAACAGTCAAAAAACTAGCATTGACTCTTAAACGCGTGGAATATGCGTAGGTACTCATCTCAAGGTCTAGGCTCAGAGCAAAAACGACCCATTGACAGAAGCCTTATAACTTTATCCTTTTCAAAAAGTAATCATTAATAAGAAAACTATAGGAACCAAAATTTAACTTCATGCATTCAACAATGATTCAATTGTTATATAAACTATGTCTAGAAGTTTGTAAATGATAAAGCCTACACGATGATGAACAAATATGTCAAATTATGCTTGAGATTTAAGCAAGAAATTGAATGTTCAAAATGTTCCCAAGACAATTTAAAAATGTAATCAAAATCACACAAGTTAAAGCCAATTTATTTAAAAAAGCAACAAAAATTAAATCTGAAATATGTAATTTAAAAACTTTCTATTATACATCCTCAAGATAATACAACTCCGTCTAATAAATCATCAATTTTTGTGGCTTTATTGTATGCGATCGCATTGTAAAGAAAAAACTTTACGCAACCATTGAAACTTTTAATACAAGTGATGATCTTGTAAATTTTCATTAAAAGCAATTTTTATTTTTTCATCGCTTTTGTTAACTTTATCTACAATCTGTTGGTTCTACCCTCAAAAAAATCAGAAGAAAATTTCCTTTTATTGTTCATCTTTGTAACGAAAAGAAAGAAGCCATGAATGGAACATCAGAGAGAGGGAAAACAGTCATAAGGAAGCGATTAAGTGAAAACTTTTAATTCATTTTTCACTTATTTTTCTCATTATTTTCAAGTGTTCTGTTCTGTAGCTGAAAAAAATAACAAAAAATAAACGAGAATCTGTAAACTTTTCAAATTAATCCTGAATTAAACAAAAAAAAGAGAGAGCAAGCAGTGTAAAGACAGATTTCTGTGATGATTAATATTCCAAAACTCAAAAGTGAAGTCAAATTAAAAATAAATTTGTATGTGATGACAAATTAGCTGTTGAGAAGCAACAGAAGTTGAGAGAAGCAAAAAACACGGGCACAATTGTGAAAATTAATTTGAAGCGATGGAGTGAATCATGTTGAATTATCATCACCATACCGTATAGCTATAGCATTGTATTCAGTCACACTTTAAGTCTCCTCACACTCCACAGCTAGTTTTCTGCTGTTGCTGAATGCTAAGTTAAATAAAAGAGAGGAAGATAAAAAAAAAATAGCAAAAGTGAAGACATATAGATACAGATAGGAAAAGTCGAGGCCCGAAAAAAAAGCTCAGAAAAGCGGAAGCAGATGAGAAAGACATTCGGATACACAGATAATAAGTGAACAAGACGACAGAGAAAAAAAATTTCTTCATTCATGACCAATAACAAAAAATAATGTCACGTAATGATAATGGATAAACTCTGGATAATCTCATTAATTCTATCAACTGCTCACAAAACCAGTAAGTCCTTCTTTCATTTTTAAACATACTTTTTTGTCTACTTCTTACTTTCCTTTTACTTTATTTGCCTTTGATTAATATTATAAAGAAGAAAAAAGTAGGAATGATGATGATGAGGAAGAGAAAATTACGCGCGCGTGTAAATTCATAAGTAAGTAAGTTGAGAAGGTCGCATAGTAACTCGTGGTATGCGTGAAAAAGCCTTGACAAGTAGAAGAAAGTGATCAAAAAATCTGTACGCGTTTGCCAGACACTTCCTTATCATCATTATTTCTTAACATTAAGAAAGTTCTCAATTCATCGTTTGACATTTTACTTGAGTCTAAAGAAAACTTGTGAATGGAAATTGACTTGTGAATTAGATTTAATATTTTACGTGCATACGATAAGCCGCAATTTTCATCGACAACTTCTTTTTTTCTCACTCTGTATAATGATGGCGGCCCATAAAATACGAAACTGATAATGATATTCATTTTGTGGGCTCACGTGTTAACGTATGGATTGATGTAGATCCTAATACAAATTAATCTTCATGTATTTTATGGATATGCATCACTTGTGAATATTGTTACTACAATGAAGATTAAAATTTTGGATAAGAGATCACAATTTATGGGAATACGTAGGAGTTGGGAATTTAGGGAAGTAAAATGATGTCAGTTCTGTACAAAATGGCTTAATCAATCAGCTAAATGGTTACTGTTCTGCCTAGTTAACTAGCAGAAATTTACTAGTAATTTCCTAGTAATTTACTGTAAAACTTTCCATTTGCTACTTGCTATTTACTAGTCAAAATCCAAGTTCAAATCTTCGCCAAAGACCCACATTTTCATTTGCTAATTGACTAGTCAATTCGCTTGCAATTTAACTAGTAATTTACTAGCAAATTTGTAAAAAAATTAAATGAATATACCTCTTATTTGTGTAAATTATTGTAAAAGTATTAGTGTGTAAAGTTAATTAAAGTACACTAACACTATGACAAAAATAATAAGACTTATTTTAATTAAGTCGAACACTGATGAACGCCCATGACTAAGGTGACCATCGAATTTTTATGAAAATACAGGACATTTGATAAATTTTTCTAAAAAATACCTGAAACAAAATTTTCAAATTTATACAGGACAGGGTTTTGAAATACAGGACTGTCCGTTGTAAAACTACGCAGATGGTCATAAAGGTGATTTCTGTGCGCTCTTGTGTAGTATATGGACCAAATTTAGAACAAAATTTTTTATGACGCAAAAAATTCATTTTTTGATGATTTTTCGTAAGATTCGAACCTAAGCAGATTTAATCAAACATTTTGCATGCCAAATTTAGAACAAATTTTTTATGACGCAAAAAATTCATTTTTTGATGATTTTTCGTAAGATTCGAACTTAAGCAGATTTGATCAAACATTTTACATGCCAAATTTAGAACAAAATTTTTTATGACGCAAAAAATTCATTTTTTGATGATTTTTCGTAAGATTTGAACTTAAGCAGATTTGATCAAACATTTTACATGCCAAATTTAGAACAAAATTTTTTATGATGCAAAAAATTCATTTTTTGATGATTTTTCGTAAGATTTGAACTTAAGCAGATTTGATCAAATATTTTACATGGTAATTTGCTAGCAAATAGCAAGTGTAATTTATTAACAGTAAGTTGTTTTAAAAATGACTAGTAAATTGCAAGTAGTAGAATAGAAAGACTAGCAATTTGCTAGTTCGTCTCGCTAGGGGTTACTTGATAAGAGTCGATTTAACCTTTCAAACTAGAATATCCACCCCTAAGGTAAACCCTAGTGTAAAATTAGCAAATAGCTTCTGGCCACTTAGTGACGCTTCAAATATTTCGAAAAAACTTGTAGTTTAAAGCTAATTCCAAACAATCTTTGTATAAAATATTAAAGTTCTTTTTTGGTTTCAAAGGATTAAGCAAAAAAATAATTTTTGTTACAAAAACTCACACCAAAGTTGGTCGTACAGGTTATGAAATATGATATCCTTCAAGCTTAATCATGAATTTTAAAACGCTCGATAGTTTCTATCACATCAAGGGTAGATTTTCATTACCTCATAGCCGAAAATTTATGTTCCTAAAATAATTTATGTATATGAAAAATAATTCGAGAGGAATCAGAGGTTGATCTTAATTACAGGAAGGATAAAATGATGAATAATCTAAAATAATATTGAATTTTCCAAACAATGGAACTAGCAAACAGATTTGAATTAGTTTAATCGCCTAGTATTTCATTGTAATTGCTTATCCAATAGCCTTTATGGTAATTTCCATGGAAATTCAATTCATAACCGGCAAATGAACAAGAGGAAATGAAGGCAAAAGAATGAAAAAAATTCACATTCATTATAATAACCATTTATAAAGCATGAAAAATAACACTATGCAGTAAATGAGGTGTATCTAGGCTCAACAATGAACAATTGAATGAAGCTCTCTTTATATACACATATATGAGTTAAGGATATGCCATACTATAATAATAATAATAATTTAATAATCATAATTGCTTGTAATATATGTGAATTATGTGCTTGTTTAATGAAATAAATTGGCTAGGATGGAATGTTAAACGATATGAAAGAATCATATTACGCGATGATTTATACAATCTATTAGCAAAATGAATTTTTTTCTCGCTCTCCCGTCTTCTTCGTCGCTTTTATTTTTGTTTCACGCTTCAATATTATTAGCGGTTTGTGCTCTAACCTTTTATGGGAACAAAATGTTAAAGCTTTGAATACGAAAACAAAAAAAAAATGAATATTATGTACACGGGAAGTTTCTGCGTGAATGAAAGAAAACAAAGACGAGGAAAAAAGTCAACAAGAAGAGTTGAACTTTTCAGTCTCACGAAATGGTTGGAAAATTTTCCGTTTAAACAGCATGAAGACAAGAAATATATATAAACAGAAATTGTTTATTTAATTTTCTGAATATTTTTAACTCTGATTTTTGGGAAATTTTCTATTCTGGCAATTGGAATGAGGATGTTGAAAATTTAAAGTTTCCAACAAAATTGAGACAGCAAACAAGAATTTAAATTTTTATCATGTTGAGACATCATCTAGGTTCTATGTTGCTGGATATTATTCAAATGTAAAGCAAATATTTCCTAAATAAACTTTAAAGGCACAAACATGATTTAATTATTGTGTGGATGGAAAGTTTCTTGAAGCTACTTTATGGGGAATTAAGATATTGCGTACATAATTAGTGGTTTTTTTTTCGAGGTTTTTTGGACTAGAGATAGCCTCTGCAGATGAGTAGTCTGGACATTTGGTTCAGTTTTTTATAAAAACTTAAAGGTTGTAGGTTCGAATCTTACCATTCTGAAAGTTAAGCTTTTTAGAAAAGTTGAGTTTAGCAAAATTGAATTTCTAGACAATATTGACTGAGTCACTAGCTTATTATTCAGATTGAGCATTTAGATTCGTAGCTAAAACTAATTCTAAACTAGTCTCAGAGTCCAAATGTTCATCCCTAACCATCAAACTCTTTGTTTCCCTGAGGATATTTCTCAGGGGCGTAGCCAGAAAATTTTTAAGGGGGGGGGAGCCCATTTTCGAAAATTAAAAAACCGTTATTTTGTATCCTTAAATCTATATTCATTCTTCATAAGTTTAGAAATTTAATTCATTATTCATACATTAAATTTAATTTTTCGTGCTGATTTTGACATTTCTTTCATCACTTCCTCTACATTAAATGGTTCTTGTCTATAAATACTTAATAAAACAATTATCAGATTTTTCCTTTGCCCCCCCCCCCCGGCTACGCCCCTGATATTTCTCAAATGTTACATAACATCCGAACAACCATCATTTTGATAAATCTACTAAGTATAAATATACCTTTCATAAACATCTACTGAGATCCTAGAACAAAATGTAAAGATATCAAAAAACTTTTAGTCAAAAAAAAGTAACAAAACTTTTCATGATGTGTTGATAAAAAATAAACTCATAAAATATTTTTCACAAAAATTTTGATTCATGAGCTCACAAAAGATATTTATGTGTGTTATATCTCAAGGGTCTCATTTTCTCCTGTATATAATAGTTGTTTGAAAAACTTTTTTTTTGTTTACATGAACTGAGAAGATTTTTCAATCGATAAGAAAATTTCTCTGAGATTTTTATACGACGAAAATTTTTCATCGTCTCCCCTTTCTTTTTGTGACAGAATCAGGTGATGAAATTTTCACGTCATATCAGCATAATAAAAGAAGCGAAACAACGAAAATGAAGGGAAGAATATCAGTATCAAAGTGCTATAAAAATCACTTTGAAAAAAAAAAAAACTCAGTACCTTTATATTCCTTTTTCTTGATGCTATTAGCAAACACATCAAAACTCTCAGTTTTGGTTCTTAGCTGTTCATAAACAGCATTCATCTTGATCATATCTGAGATTTTGTACTTATATTTTTTTTACTACTTTTAGGCTTATAGAGATTGTTTGTGATGCTTCCATTTTTTAAAAGCATCTTTTTCCTTTTTTCTTGAATCAGTATTTATTTTGACTAGCAGATTTGTTGAAGAAGACGTGTTTTGATGGTTAAGGTTTGAGATATTGAATGCTTTATCTTTAAATTTTGAGTTGAATAATAAGTTGAGGATGCTCAAGGGAACGTTGATTTCTGTGTAATCTTATAAGGAAATGCTAGCAAAACATTCAAGAATATTCAAACCTAGTAGACACAGGGCTCTAGTTTAGGAGCCACGTTATTTGTGTCATTCTTAAAAATATTCCACAAGTAACATAAATTGCAGATTTTTGCTTTGTAGACAAACTTTTCCGATCGATAAAAAATTCAAATGTCAGAAAACTTTTACATATGTATGCATATGAAGTCTAAAAATAAACTAATCAATGACTGCTAATACAAAGGTGAGGCTTATAAACTCGACAAATGTATACATTTGGATCTAGTTGATGTTAATTTCGGCTAATACATTTTTTTCTGGAATTTTCCAGA